AAGCCGATGCAGCCAATCTTGTCCATGCTGAAGCACTTCCATATATGACTGCGCTGGCACGTATGATGCCATGCACACGAGCGAGTCAAGGTCACACCGGCACTCACGCAGAGGAGGAGCAAAGGAACGATGCAAGCGTGGGAATGACACGGGAAAGGAATGATTGAAAAGGCGACAACCAGGGACAAAGAGGAGCTTACGTGCTTGAAAAAGTGCTCTGCCAGACACCCTTGTCTGACCAGATGCATAAGAACGCCATGGAAGCAAAGACACTGCCTGAGCCGTTAGAGAGATAGGCGGGGGGAGAGAGGGAGTAGCAGGCAAGCTAGGGACGCGAGCATGAGCCCAACGTTTTTCCAAGATTCGAGCGAATTCAGACTTTGTGAGGGCACAGCGAAGTGTTTTCACCTCAGGCTCGGTCAGAGGACCAAGCTGAGAAACACGCGGCCGTGGTTTAGCGCTCATCAGCCAGCACCCTCGTCGCTGCCAAGGAAGAGGCGACCGCTGTCAGTGCATAGGAAGGCCCCGCAGCTCTCTACAGTGGACTTGAGGACACCCAAGCAGCCATCGCGAGAGGCGGCAGCCAGCCTCGTGCTTTCTCAGCGCTTCCTCGGCGAGATCCGTGCTTCCCGCTGTGTGCATCATCTGAGAGCGATGAGCAAGTCGGTCATCCATCAGAGGAAATCCGACCATGGGATTGCCAGGAAGGTGCGGACGCAACTCGCCGAGCTGGAGCAGCTGCTCAGCCAGGCGGACACTGAGCATGACGGCCGCCCTCTGCTAACCCCCCCTGACATGGTCCTTCTGTGGCTTGCGATTCGCATCTTCTACGAGTGGCGCATCGTTCGCACCCTGCCCAAGGGGCTGGTGGACCACTGCGTCAAGATCATTGAAAGGGACTTTGGTTCGTACGGCTTTCCCGAGATGCTGCGCATCCTCCCCGGCCTGGCGGAGGCCGGCAATTACCTCGGAGGACAGGACAAGGAGAGGCAGGCTAACAGGGAGCTGGTGCGCCCCCTGTTCCGCAAATGCGCGGTGCGTTTCTTGCCTCATGAGGTGGAGCGACTTTCGTTGACGGACCTCGGCCAGCTGGCGCGGAGTTTCTCGGCGATTCGATACCACCGGGATGACCTCTGTGAGGCGATTGGAACGCTGTGGGCTGTGCTGGACAAACAGGTGGTGCGGCTGGGCCAAACTGTCGTCGAGGGCAACGGCACACGTCTGGCGGCTGATCGGAGCCCAACAGAGTGGGGCCATCTGAAGCACTTGGTGATTGCGGCTTTCCGTCGTCAGAGGCGTCCGAATTCACATATACATGGGTTCCATCTTGATCCTCAAGAGCCAGCACCAGTCTCTCCAGAGGTCATCCGGATGCTCGACAAGCTGGCAGCTGCCCACGCAGAGACCATGTATGAGTCAGACATGACCATCACCGCTGAGTCCCTCCTGAACCTGGGAGCATGGAACGTCAGCAACGGCTGCGAGGGCAGCTTCTTCCGCCGTCTCCCCGACGGCATCATGGCCAAGCGGGAAACGCTGACCAACCTGCAGCTGGCTAGATGTTGCTACGTCCTCGGCAAGGCAGCAGCTGCTGAGGCGGGGGAGAAGGGGTCCGGTGTGGTGGATTCGTTCGCTATGACGCTTGTCGATCCGGATGGCGTGGGTGGCGTCATAGTGTCACGGCTGAAGGGGGAGGGGGCGAGGCGGGTGGAGCTGCGTCATCTCAAGCTGCTTATGCAGGGCATCTCGTCAGCTCTGGTGAGCGACGGAGGAAGGGACAGGCGAATTGGGTGTGGCGGGTGCACTTGATTTCTGTGGGTGGCGTGGCGTGGCGTGGCGTCTCTCTTGCTCTCTGTGTGTGATGTATGTCAGAGTTTGCACGACCGCGACGTGGCAAAGATTCATCGAGAGGCCTCGGTGGTGCTGTCAGCCGTCCTGGCGGCCTTCAGAGAGACCTTTCGCCAGCTCAAGGCCGGCGGGCCGCCGACCACACAGCCCTTTGCAAAGCGCGGCCAAGCGGAGAGCGACATGCAGCTCATTCTCTTCATCTGTAAGCAGATAAGCAGAAATTACATACAGATTGATCAAGGCCGATTGTGCTGCAACGGTGTTGCTTCAGTGGGTTGCTTCGGCAGCATCGGGTATTTCCCTCGCGAGTATCATGCGCTGGTTGGTGAAGTGGTGGAGTGGGGTCACGACTTCATCGTGGGGCTGCCGACACGCGACCTGTCGTCATGGCTGAACCAGTGCGCCACACTGCGGCTGAAGCCTGTGCGGCTCATGCACGGCAGCGTCCGAGTCATCCAACAGGTCCGCTCAGGCACACTCACACACAGCGCAACACGACACTCAGTCTGTTGATGCGTGTGTCTTGGTACCTACCTGCTTGTCCAGAGGCTGGATGAAGGCGACATGCAGCTGACCGATCTCGTCTACATCCTGTATGCCCTTGCCATCCTCAACTACTCCAAGTCCCCACCACCACCTGCTTACCATGGTGCCATCCAGCCCGCCGACTTCCTGTCTGCCTGCGTGCGGCACATCGCTGACCGGTGGTCTGAGCTCGACACCCCCTCCCTCTATCCCATGATGACTCTGCTCATGTGGACGCTGTTGGTGCTTGACCTCTACCCAGAGGCCCTCTTTGCCCGCTTCTATGGCATCGACTGGCCCGCTGAGATCGAGAAGGCTCGACAGATCGGTGAGCCGCTGGGTCAGCAGACGGTGGCGCAGCTGTACTGGTGCTTCGTGGCCTATGTGGCGGGGAGGGGGCGTGAGGCGACGATGGAGACCAGCCTGACGGCGGATGTGCTGCAGCAGTGGGGCCGTGAGCTGCGGCAAGACACGAAGCCCCTCAAGTCATCGTTCCAGTGGGAGGTTGCCAAGACGCTGGACCGCCTGGCGCTGCCCCACACCTACGAATACCGCACCAAGGAGGGCGTGCTGATCGACATCGCTCTCACCAGCCCCTCCCAGGGGTCGGTTGAGGACCACAAGGTGGAGCTCCCGGTGGCTCTAGAGGTCGACGGCCCTCTGCATTTCCTTACTGTACTCGACGACAGCGACGCCGCGGCGGCAGCAGACCACGAGTCGCATCCCGATGTGCTGAGGCTTGAGCAGGATGGCTCGACGTTGTTCAAGCACCGGTTGCTGCAGCAGCTGGGGTGGCAGGTTGTGTCGGTGAGCTTTGCTGACTGGGAGGGGCTCAAGACGCCACACGAGAGGGAAATGTGGCTGAGGAGCAAGATACCAGAACACGTCAAGCAGTCGGCAGCCGTCTTTGCTGATTGATTATTGACGACGGACAAACAGATGGGGTGCTGCTCTGGAAGGCTGTTCGTTCGGGTGTTGGGTGTGGTGTCTCGGTGGTCTGTCTGTGTGAGAATGAATGAATGGAATTGATGTGTGGTGAATGCCGACCAACATTTGGCATGGAGTTGCCTGATGCACATACCATACCACCGCCCGGGAATACTGATTGATAAAGATAAGGGCCGCTCACGCACAACAACGGCCCTCACACACACACACACACACACACGTGCACACGAATGCAGGTCTTTGTACACAAGCCAGACACATCACCTCTCTCCGTCCTCAGCAGACGTCCGGAGTCATAGTTGTACATGGCCAATATGAGTGCACCGCACCCACAGCCGACCCAGGGACAAGGACGGACGGACGGACGGACGGAAGGCTGCTGCTATGCATCAATAAAGGCACGAGTGCGGGCGTAAAGGGCATGCATACCACATGAAAAATCACTGACTGCATCTCTGGCTTCTGTGAGACTGGGTCTAACTGCCCGCAGGCATCTTGTCGCGCCACATACATGTGATGCCTCCCCTGCCCCACTCTGGGCAGCCCCCCCTCTCTTGAGTGCCGCAGGGCAACCAACAACCAGCAAAGTCCAGGAAAGGAAGCAGGCACCGGCTGCCCTCAATCGGCCGGCCCCTCTGAGGGCCTTCCACTCCCACGTGCCCCCCGCTGGCTCTCACACATTCGATCCTGCGGCCGTCTCGGCGTCGTCGACGTCGTCCTGTGGGTTGCCCGCGGCGTTGCCGACCGTCTGGGGCGCGGGCTGGTTCTGATTGGCCTGCAGCTGCGCTATCCTGGCCGCTTTCCACCTCTCATGACGCACTCGGTCCTGCACAAACAGCCACTGGAACAAAGAGGTGACCGCAAGAAGCGGCGGAGTGACAAACATGGCGTCGATGCCGCTGCGGCCCATCTCGCATGTGGGCGCCGCAAAGAGGACTCGAGCATCCACCAAATCAGCACATCGCGCCGAGCCGCCCAAAGACCTCCAGAGCAGACCCCCAACAAGGCAGAGCACCGCTGCAGCCGTGAACAGAACGGCAGCAATCAAATCCTGCGGGTGGGTCGAGCGGCCGCGCCTCATCTTCGAAGCCACATCGGGAAGTAGCCAGAAGGTGCTGAGGACGACAAGAACCATCGTGAGGCTGCCGAAGACGTACATGACAACGCCGGCTGCCCGCAAGTCCCGCCACATGGCCGCTGCCTCCGTGTCGCCTCTCTCGACGCTTTGCTGGTGCATCCATCCATAGGGCGCCACGCAGTCACAATGCCGGTCGCCGGGATCCTCGGCACTCTGATGGTGAGTTACTTTGCAGCCCTTGAACTCGCCACGGCCGAACAGAGGTGAGTCGACAGAGGTGTCGCCACACGTCGCCGTCGCGTTGGTCAGCGGCACCAGCTCCACTGACAGACGGTAAAACTGCAGGCCGTACCTGCACCACCGAAGAACGACAGACACACAGGAAGCCCTGCCCGCCGGCTTGTCGAGCGGGGCGCCTTTGCTTGGCCTACGTTTCGGTGATCTCTGGGTAGAAGTAGTCGCGAGTCCCGTACTGTGTCAGGGAGAGGAAGGATGGCTCGAAGAGGGTGATGAAGAAGTACCCAATGCAAAAGCAGACCACGAACCGCGCAACGAAATGGTACACCTCGTGGGCATAGCACAACCCGCACATCCCTGAAGGGCGCCGAATGCCGAATTGGCAGCGGTTTCAGGAAGCACCCTATTTTTGCGAGCTAAGCACGCAGAACGACGACTTCTTCCCCGAGCGCATCGCCGAGATCCTTGGTGCATCTTTGCTTTGGTGACGCAATGAGTGAATGGGTTGAGGGCGGCTGCCTGTGCGGCGGACAGCGGTTCAAGGTGTGCACCGACCCGCCTCCCCCCTACCCGCCGGTCATGTGCTGCTGTAAGATGTGCCAGAGATGCCTGGGTAAGCAGATGTTCTTCAGATAATTTAACCAGCAGCTGTTTTCCACTCATCAATGGTCTCTGTGCTGTGTGTTGGTCCGTCTGTTTGTCTGTCTGTCTGTCTGTTCAGGCGCCCCAGCGGGCGTCTTCCTGTGTGTCAAGGAGGAGAATCTCGTGTTGACCAGCACCGAAGAAGTCGAGAAGTATGAGTCGTCACCCGGGAACCTCCGATGGTTCTGCGGCAAGTGCGCATGCCAATTCTACTTTCAAGCGACCCAAGCCCTGCCAGGTACAGTAGACAGACCGGCAGTCTGAGACCAAACACAGCCCAACTTCCTTTTGACCTGTTCGTCGTCATGCATTGGGACCGTGACTGTGAGCTGTTTCGATGATCCGGACCGTTTCACCCCGGTGGAGGCCATCTGGACTTCGTCCAAGAGCTGCTGGTTCAGCCCCGGAGGCATCCCCACAAACGAGAAATGGAGCCCCGGCCTGACCAAGATGTTTGGGCGAGGGGCCGAAACAGGAGACCAGGGCGAGGGCGAGGCGGGCTCGGAGGTGTCGACAAAGGATGCCCACCCCACCGGTGCGGAGATCCAGCAGGTGCCCACGGTGGGTGGCTCGGTTGAGGGCGGATGCCTGTGTGGCGCACAGCGGTTCACGATCCGCATGAACGACAAGGAGCCCATCCACCCGCCCACCTACTGCTGCTGCCGTATGTGTCAGAAATGCCTCGGTGAGCCTCAATGCCCTCCCTCCCTCCCTCCCTCCCTTGACGGACGACGTGCTGATGCTTGTGTGTGGTTGTGTGCGTCTCGTCTGTCTGTCTGTTTTGTGTTGCGTAGGTGCTCCGGCCGGCCTCTACATGTGCGTTGACCGTGAGAACTTCACTCTGACCAGCACCGCGGAAGTCAAGACGTGCGAGACCTGGCACACGACCTGTCGGAACGTCCGCATGTTCTGCAGCAAGTGCAGTGCGCACTTCGCCTTCGAGTCGCCCAAGGATCTGCCAGGTGGGTGTGGTCTGGTGTGGTGTGTCTGCCGCACGATGGATGACAGACAGGGAGGCACCTCCGCATCGATTGGCTGTGTGTCTGTGTGTGTGTGTCAGGTATGGTGACGGTGGCTGTCTGTTGCTTTGACTTCCCGGACAGCTACCCTCCGGTTGAAGGCGTCTTCTGTTCGACCAAGAGCCAGTGGTTCGACCTGGGCGGCGTCACCGGATACGACGTGTGGAGCCCCGGCCTCACCAAGGTGTTCGAAGACTACGCCGAGAAGATAAAGCACGCGGAGGAGACCGCCTCGCAGCAATCCACCAGGGATGACTGAGGGAGGGAGGAAGGGAGGGAGGCGCTTTCTTGTTCGCATTTGTGTTTCGTGTCGTATCGCTTGGGGGCCTTACTGTTGCGTTGTATTCTATTGTGAGCCGGATGGATGGAGTCGATTCATAAGTGCGCGTCACGTGTATGTGACGCAAGCACCTGTAGTGATGTATCATTGCTTGTTGTGCTAGGAGCGAGATTTTTCACCCCGCCTGAGCATGTTGTTGCTTTGCTGATCGTCGACCGAGGGGATGCTATGAACGGTTGAGCTGCGTGAAGAGGGCTGCTGCGCATTGATGGTTGTGTGCTTTATCCATCAGTTCCCATGGTACATGGGCTGGTGCCGACTGATAGTTTTTTTGCTACTGTCGGGTGCTGACGTGTGTGAGGGTGCGGGGCGATTGGGTGAGCAGCATCGATCTAATTGAGGTGTGCTTTGCTTGGGTCCCGATGGCAATCATGGGGTACCGTACGAGGGCTTGTCGGTCGTAAGGTGAAGTGTCTGTCATCTCCTTCTGTGTACGTTAAGTTGTTGTGCCACGTGGATGTGAGTGCGTATTGCAATCGCACTGCATCGTTTTTTATCGATGGGGGACGGGGGAGTGAGACACTGGCTGGATCCTGATGGACCTGGTTGGGGGGATGGGGGAGTGAGGCACTGGCTGGATCCTGATGGACCTGGTTGGGGGGATGGGGGAGTGAGGCGCTTTTTATTCGCCTCTCTTCTCGTACTGTATCGGGAGGGGGGCTTATTGTGTTGTGTTATATTATCAGCTGCACGAAGTCGATTTGTAAGTGCGCGTCACGTATACGTGACGCAAGTATCCATACAGAGCTTGTGTGATGCATCGTTGCTTGTTGTGCTGGGTGCCAGATTTTTTATCCACGCCGCGTCAGCGCGTGAGTCGCTGGGGGCTGATCGACGCCTGGGGAGGTACTGTGGATGCTTGTGCTGCATGAAGAGGGCTGCTGTGCGTTGACGCTTGCGTGACTTATAGATCCAGGCCGATGCAGATGCTTGGTGCGAAATGATGGGTTTTTTTTCTTTCCATGCTGAGTCATGAGTTGTGTGTGTGTGGGGGGGGGGGGGGGGGCGG